CTCCTGTCTTTGGGGTGCTCCTGGACCCTGTGATACGAATCTGTATGCCGCAAATCTCACACTGATCAAGAACTCCAAAGCACAGTACATTTCCCCTTGCAGGACCAAGGCTGTGCAGGCTGCGCTGGAGATGCTGGGACCCAACTGTTACCCCACCCCCGACGGTGTTCTTAAAAAAAAAAGAGGGGCTCTGAGTTTGTTGCCAAAGGTTAAGTTGCCAACTGTAGTGTTGGCATCCCCTGTGGGCACCGATTTGAGTTTTAGCCGCTCCACTTCTGATCCAGCTCCCTGCTAATGTCACTGGGAGAGCAACAGAGGATGGCTCAAGTTCTTGGGACCCTTCCATTCATGTGGGGTGACTTGGATGAAGTTCCTGGCTCCTGGCTCCTGGCTCCTGGCTGTGACCTGACCTAGCTATCTGGGGGAGTAAACCAGCAGATAGAAGCTGTTTTTCTCTGTCACTCTGCCTTTTAGTACTTAAAATAGATCTTTCAAAATAGATACATGGAGGATCTGGTGCAGTGGCTCAGTAGGCTAGTCCTTGCAACACTGGCATCCCATATGGGTGCCAGTTCATGCCCCCAGCCACTCACGATCCAGCTGTGCCTGGGAAAGCAGCAGAGAATGGCTTGAGTCCTTGGGCCCCTGCACCCATGTGGCAGACTTGGAAGAAGCTCTTGGCTTCTTGCTTCAGATCGCTTCAGCTCTGTCCATGGCAGCCACTTGGGGAGTGAAATAGAAGACCTCTATCTCCTCCTCCTCTTTGTAACTCTACCTTTCAAATGAAAATGAAATAAGTCCTTAAAAAATAGATTCAGAAACAAACTGATGAATGAATTAGTGTATTAAAGAAGACAGTGGGAGAGAGCTCCCATTCACTGGCTCAAAAAAGATGGGGCTGGGCCACGACTGGAGCCGGGAGTGGGAACTCAAATGCAGCCATCGGTACCAGAGCGATCCAGTCCCTGAGGCATTACGGCTGCTTTTCAGGGTCCGTAGTGAGGGAATGTGAAGTCAGAAGCCACAGCCAGGTGTCAAGTCCAGGCTCTGTGTTACGGGATGCAGGTACCAATAGCTATACCAACTGCTAGGTCCAAAGCAGCCCCACCCTGGGCTCTGAGTGTGGCCTGGAATGACAAGGACATCTGGGTCACGTGTTGTGTGTTGTGTGTGTGCTGGAAGAATGAGCAGGTCAGCATTTCACCGACACGCTCCCCTGGGCTCTCGTGGCCCCCGAGAGGCCACTTTGTGCTGGACCGATGGCGTGTCCAATCGCAGGACTGAGGGCGGCCGACAGGTGATGAAACATCAACCATTGGAAGAGATACGCTTATTTGGGAACAAAACTTTTTGAAATCCATGCATGGTTTTTTCACAACGGGCATTTCATCCATTTTTTGAGGGCTGTTCATATGCATAGATGTTAGCATTTCTTTTTTAAAAATATTATTATTTTTATTTGAAAGGTAGAATTACAGAGAGAGAAGGGGAGACGTAGAGAGGGAGATCTTCCACATGCTGGTTCACTCACCAAATGGCCACGACAGCCAGGGTTGTGCCAAGCTGAAGCCAGGAGCCTGGAACTCCATCAGGGTCTCCCACATGGGCTCAGGGCTCCAAGCAGCTGAGCCATCATCTGCTGCTCTCTCAGGTGCATTTTCAGGGAGCTGGTTCAGAAGCAGCTCTCACAAGCAATGCTGACTTTGCAGGTGGAGGCTTAACTTACTGCACAACAAACCCATTACCCCCCCCCCCCATCAGCATTTGGAAGCACCCCTGCACTCCAGGGCTCTTTTTCCTGCGGAAGGAGAAACTCAACTCTCAGGGCAGCACGTAGGGGTCAGCCAGAGGGGGTGAAGGGGTCAAGGGAGGCAAGGAAAGGGGCCAGAGGGAGGGGGGGAGGTGACCATGTGGTGTCCAGCGGGTGTCCCAAGGCTGTGGGTGCCAGAGGCCGGGCTGTCCCCCACCCTGGTCTTGCTCCAGCTGGGGCAGCTTGGCCAGAAACATCCCTATTATTCCCGGGGTTCCTCGCCAGCCACCAGGGGCTCCAGTCTCCAGGAGCTGTGGGTGCAGGGAGGAAAAGGCCTCCGTGCAATGGCTCACTTGGCTAATTCTTTGTCTGCAAGTGCCAGTATCCCATGTGGCTGCTGGTTTGTGTCCCAGCTGCTCCACTTTCAATCCAGTTCCCTGTAGAGGATGTCCCAAAGCCTTGGAACCCTGTACCCACGTGGGAAATCCAGAAGCAGCACCTGGCTCCTGGTTTCGGATCTACTCAGCTCCAGCTGTTGCAGCCACTTGGGGAGTGAGCTGGGGCAGGGATGGACGCTCTTTGTCTCTGTAAATCTGCCTTTCAAAAAAGAAAAAAAAAATTCAGTGGCAGGGCTCTGGCTAGAAAGGCTGCCAGGGCAAGTATGCATCACGTGGGCACAGTATAGATCCCATTTGCCCTCTGGGGAGGCCCTTGACCATGTCCTACTGGGCTGTGGCCCCAGATCCAGGGAGTCCCAGCAGGCTCTGTGGGTTCTTCTCCTCTTGGCACTCCTGATGGGCCAGGCAGGCCCCTGGGGAGGCCAGGCTTTTCCCTCTGTCCCAGGAGCCCTGGCGAGGGGCTGCAGTGTGGGGGGCAGGGGGCTGGTGAGGGGCATCTGCCCTGTGGCGCCCGAGGGCATTGGCCTGTCTGACTGCCTTCTGGGATGCTGCCAGTCACTTGACCTTGAAGAAAGCATTCAGGGTGAGATCCAAGCCTTGCTCTCTGAGTGCTTCCCTACCCTCCACCCTCCTGCCCCCAACACTGCCCCTTTGTCCCCTATGATGCCAACAGCACATCTGCACAGACCACAGCAAGGGGGGGCCCAAGAGTGGGGCTGTATAGGGCACCTCCTGCCCTCTGCAGCTGACCTTGAACCCCTCTGGCTGACCTTGATCCCCTCTGGCTAATCTTGGCCCCCTCTGGCTGACCTTGACCCCCTCTGGCTGACCTTGACTGCCCTCTGGATGACCTTCACTGCCCTCCCCTGGTCTGTCCGTATTGTCCAGGCCAAACCCACACTCTCCCATGATCGAGGTCCAGGAGCTGTTGCGCCCCTCCTCCCTCTGGGCTTCTGGGCAGCTCTGGTCTCCAGCTCACCGGCTCCCCTCTGTGGCTGTGTGCCTCTAGCGGACCCTCTCATGCCTCAGGGCTCACATTCAATGTGCACCAGACCTGGACTCCGACTTCACCATGTCCACATCCCCATCTCCCTTCCTCCCCACCACCATCTCCCCTTGCCATGCATGGAGGCTTCCTCAGTGTCCCAGCTTGGCTGCTGCCTTGAAAACAAGGACGCCTGTGTGTCACTTTGGCCACCACACCCATCCTGCCCCTAGGAACACAGCCTTGCCCACTCCATCCAAACCTTCAGCAGGTCTTGATGGTTTTGAAGGAGACCTTTCTCACCATCCCTGCTGCCTGCTGGCCTGAGGCACTACCCTCTGCTGGTGACAGCTCCTGCCCAGAAGCAAGCTCACCTCTGCCTCCCTTAGGACAATCAGCCACACAGAAGCCCTGGGTCACGGCCAAAGTGCAGCCTTCCCACTCTTGTAAACTGGGCCTCAGCTTCCCCAGTTCCTCCCCCTCCTCTTCCCTCCCTTCCCTGTCCTCTAGACCCCTTTTCCCATCCTGCCTCTGGGCAGCTGCACCTGCTGCTCTTGCTGCTCTCACACTTTTTCTTCTCCCTTGCTCAGGTTGCAGCTCACATGTGGCCCCTGACTTGTTGACACCGCATCCTTCTTGGCTGCACGTGGCGCTGTCTCCACTATTGGTTTCTTGCCTGTGCCAAGCGCCGGCTCCCTGCTGCCCCATCCAGTGCCCGTGTGGCATAAATGCTCTTGAAGTACCAGGGGACCAAGTGAATGAATGTGGAAAGGACTCAATTCTAGGAAACCTCTGTGGCTGCTCCCTCCTATAGACCCGTCGACTGGCTGCTCTGTAGCGGGCTGAGCCTGCCCAACATCAGCCTGCAGCCAGGCTGAGCCTGTTCTAAGTTGGCTTACAGCCAGGAATTCTGGGGTGAGAGCAGCAAGAGGTACCCCCTGGGCACTCAGCAATCCTACAAAGGGAGACCTGGGAGCTGGGCGTCGGCAAGGCGGTCCCCTCCAAGGAGAACGCGCCTTCGGGGGCCCCAACATTCCAGCAGGTACCTCACAGTTGAAAGATGCAACCCCCGCAAGGCATGCACGCTCCAGCAGCCACGGAAGGTGTTTCCTCCCCGTGCAGGTAGACTCATGGAGAAATCAATCCAAGTTCGACTGTAACCACCCACCCAACTGCAGAACAAACTCGCATGAGAAAGCTGCTGCCAGCTGCGGCGCGGCCGACCCCAACCACTTAGCCACAGGTGCCTGTCCAGGCTGGCCCCCAGGGGCACGCCTCGGGTCTGCCCGGATTCCACCGTCCACAGTGACTGCTTGCCCAGTCATTTCTGGATAGTCTGTCCACTGCCAGGCTTGAAGGCAGCGAGCAGAGGGTTGCACGTTGCTATCCTATGCGGCCGAGCTGTGATCAGGGCGCGCGGCGTGCACTCGGGGCTGGGCTCGCGCGCTCCGCCCGGTGCACAGGATGGCTGCCCCAGAGAGTAAGAAGTCGCCCTTCTTCCGCGGGGCTGGCCCTGCTTAGGGTTTGGTTCAGTCCGGGGTGGACTCCGTGGCGGGAGCTTGTCCGGGGACAGTCGCTGGCCTCGCCCTTGGCCGCAGTTTCCCAGGGGCAGGAGGGAGAGCGTGGGCTCAGGGACTCCGCGGGACGCGGGCGCTCGGGGGCTGCGCTCGGGCGCTCGGGGGAGCCTCCACTCCCTTTAAAAGGAAAACTATGCGGGGAATCCGGGAGGTGCCCGGCCCCGCGCCCGCCCTCCCGGGCCTCCCCCGCCCGCACGTCCGCCCCCGCCCCGCGCCCTGGCCCTCGGCCCTCGCCCCGCTCCCGGCCGGGTGGAGCCGCTCTTGGCCTTTTTTGGGCGTCTCCCTGCTGCTCGGCTCCCGGGACGCGCTGGCGGCTGCGGCGGAGGAGCGAGCCGGGAGGAGACCCCGGCCCAGCGTGCGCAGCCACCATGACGGGAAGGTAACAGCGCCCGCTTCCCCGGTCCGGGAGCTGCTGGTCTCGGGTCGGCTTCCCCGCTGCACCTGACCCCGCCTTCGCCCTGGCTTCCTGACCCTTCGGACTCGCGCCCCGCCCCGGGCAGGAGCGCCCGTGCGGGCTGGGGTCCCATCCCGCCGTCTGCACATTTTCTTCCTGTCCGCTGCGGGCGGCGGCAGGTGGAGGAGCCCAGAGCGGGTTTCCCGCTTCTCCCCTGACGGCGGGTTAGCTGTCCCCTCCCTGGGGACGTAGGGGTGCGGGTGCCTCAACTAAGCTTGCTCAGCCACCAACCCGCCTGAGCTTAGAGCCGCCCCCGCCCGGTGGTCCGCCACTTCGGGAGCCCTCATAGTCCTCTAATCTACAGCTCACAGAAGGGGACTTGGCTGGAGTCGGGCCCCAGCACAGGGCTGGGTCAGGGACGCAGAACAGCCTGGCCAGGCGCCAGTATCCGTTTGACAGTGGAGCGAGCCTCTGTCCTGCAGCGTGAAGTGGTCCTTCCTGGCAGCGACTGGGTACAAATGTTGGTTGGGAGGGATCCCTTGGCAGCAGCCTGTGTCCTGGGGGCATCTCTTTGGCAAGGAACCTGGATCATGCAGGGCAGGGTGCTGGTTCCAAGTCTCACGGAGACAGGGAGAAGGCCCCCAGAAGCCTCAAATAGCAGGTGTCCTGCCGCCTAGGCCACATAGCAGTCCCTATTTCCCAGCTTCTGGAGACCCATCAGCTCCCCTGACTTGGGATCCCCCCAACCCTGAGGTACTGACCCCCGCCGAGGGTCTTCTGCAGCCTCAGGAGAGGGGAGGGAAAGGGAGGGGACCCTGGGGGACAGCCATAAGCCTGGGGTGGGGGAAGGAGAGGGAGCCAGAGGTCGTGATTTTGAGCACAGGAAAGATCTCACCTAAGGCCCAGCCACCTGTTGCAGCCAGGTCAGCGGTCACTGTGGTCCCAGGAGGCTCTGCTCCGGGGCCAGGGGTCCCTCCTTGGCGATGGAGGTGGCCAGCTCAGCCACCAAGAGCCAGAGAGAGAACCCGAGAAGGCAGGAGGGTGCACCAGGCCCAGGAGGGCGGAGGGAGAGGCTCTGGTCCTGGGAGGAGCTCGCCGTCTTACCCCCTGCTGCTGCCAGGGCTGCCCAGCAGAGCAGTGTGGAGCCTTTCTCCAGCCCTTCCGCTTCCTCCTCAGTCTCATGCAGCTGCTGCTGCGGTCTGCACCCTCCTTTGAAGTGTGTGGCTGCACCAGCTGTCAGCGCCATCCCTGACACCTGCCCCTCCACATGGCCCAACAGTGAGTGGAACTAGACATCCGAGCTGGCTTTTGGAGGGGGGGAAAGGTCTTTCTGTCCCCGTAGCGGCACCTGTGCCCAATCATGACTGTGTCGTAAGTGCCCCACCCCCATCACCCCTCCTGTCCCCTACCCCCTCCCTGGCTCTCCACAGCCCAAACACGGTCAGCACCCTTCTTGCCAGCTCTCAAGGCCGTAGGGGCGTGGCCTGGAGTGGTGCGGGTGGGCCTACAATTGATCATGGTGTCCCAGGTGCTGAGTGGAGACAGAGCTGTGATCAGGCGACAAGGGTCAGGAAACTGGGCTGGACCCCAGCAAGGAGGGAGGCACCCCTGGGTGGCGGTGGGAGTGGGGTGGGGTGGCGTGCAGGGGGCTGGGAGGTGGAGTTGGCTGCAGACAGGGATGTCAGCCTGGGTGTGGAGTCTGCTGTGGCTGCTGAGGCAGGCTGTTCGAGCTGGGGAAGAAACAGAAAACCCCTGGTTCTTTGACTGCTGGGTGACACTGACAAGGCCTAGGGGCTTCCTGGGCTCCTGGCATGGGAGGCTAGGATGTGGGAGAGTGGTGGAACTGGCATCGGCTTGCCGTCTGGGCAGGGCCAGCTCCTGCCTGGGAGCACAGCACAGGGCATCGCTGCTTTTTTTTTTTTTTAATTTTAAGAATATTAAAAATACATATTTATTTGGTCTGGTGCTGTGGCATCAGTAGGTGAAGCCTCTGATTTCAGTGTTGGCATCTCATATCGGTGCCAGTTTGAATCCCAGCTGCTCCACTTCTGATCCATCCCTCTGCTTGTGGTCTGGGAAAGCAGCAGAGGATGATTCAAGTTCTTGGACCCCTGCACTCATGTGGGAAACCTGAAAGAAGCTCCTGGCTCCTGGCTTCGGATCAGCTCAGCTCCAGCCATTGCGGCCATTTGAGGAGTGAACAGTAGATGGATGATCTTTCTCTGTATCTCTTCTTTTCTCTGTAAATCTGCCTTTCCAATACAAATTTTAAATATTTTAAACTATTTATTTATCTGGAAGGGAGAGTTTCAGAGTGAGGGACACCAGTAAACCAGCCAATGGAAGCCCTCTGTCTCTCCAACTCTCTCTCTCTCTCTGCCCTTCCAAGAAGTTGACTTTTACTCCACCCTTGTGACTTCATCGCATCCCAGAGGCACTGCCTATGAGCCCAGATGGCGCTGAAGAGTGTGTTCTCAACACAGTGGGCTCTGGGGAACGCGTACACTGTGTGTGTCAGAGCGGATGGAGGCCCGCCCTGATGGCTGAGTGCTGTTGTTCTGTGGGGTGGGGTACATGTCCCTCCTGGGGGGCATGCCAGAGGACCTGGAGTTGTCCTTGGCTGCCTGGGGAGGGGCTGGACACAGGGGCTGACCCTGTGCGCGTTGGCTGCCCCTGGCTAGCACTCCCTGGGGGAGGCAGCACTGCTCCAAGCCTGACTCAGGGGCCTTTAGCAAGCTGTGCATCCCTCACTGGTACTGTCCACTTCCCCAGTCATCAAATCCACCTTAACAGTTTGACTATTTATTTGAAAGGCAGAGACCTTCCGTCTGCCAGTTCCTCCCCACACTCCCCTAAATGCCCATAGCCGCAGGAAAGTCTGGAGCAGGCTGGAGCAAAGCCAGGAACCTGGAATTCTGTCTGGGTCTCCCAACTGGGTGGCATGGACCCAAGTACTTACAAAACTTTCTGCTGCCTCCCAGGTATATCAGTGGGGAGCTGGAGTGAAAACCGAGGTGGGACTCACCCCAGTCACTTCCACGTGGGCTGCAGGCATACCAAGCAATGGCTTAACATGCTGGGCCACCCTTGCTTATTTCCCGTAAATGGAACTGCACATTATTCAAATTATTTGCTCACTCTCCCCCTCCTTTTTTTTTTTTTTTTTGCTTTCTCTTTGTTTACCATCATATTTTCAAGGTTCATCTTTATGGTACTGTGAAAGCGTACTTTATTCCTTTTTTGGCTAAATAGTAGGCCACTGTGTGGCTGTGCCACATTTTGTTACTGGACCTTTGACTTGTTTCCACTTTTTGACTGCTGTTTGAATAACCCTGCTGTGCAAAATCCTCATGCATGTTTTTGCTTCAATGCATATTTTTTCCTTTTTGTGTGTGCCTAAGCCTGTCATTGCTGAGTCCTGTGGCAAATCTATGTTAAACTCCAAAGAACTGTCAAATGATTTTTCCAGTAATTTTATGATTTCATACTTTATTGACACAACTTTACAACAGGTGTGAGTGACGATTTCAACTTAGCATCTTTGTTAACGTATCTCATCTGGTTTAGTTATGGGAAATGATGTTCCATGTGGTTGAGTTTTTTTCTTTTTGAGTTATTTCTTTGTGAGAGAGAAGAGAGAAACAGTGTCATCTGCTGGCTCATTCCTCAAATTCCCTCCAAGGCCAGCACTGGGCCAGGCCGAAGTCAGGAGCTGCGAACTCCACCCAAGTCTCCCATTTCTGGAGCCACACCTGCTGGCCCCAGGCTCATACCAGCAGGAAGTGGGGATCAGGCTGGAGTTGGGAGGTGAGCCAGGTGCTCTCATGCGGGATGTGGGTGTCTTGGTCTGCGTGGTAGCCACTGGGCCAGATGCCTGCACTGGCATCAGGTTCTCTGTTTCCATTTTGCTCCTGGCTAAAGATACCGAGCGTCTTTGCATGGTGTGTTTCTTGATCACTGGTGTATCTTTTTGGGAGACATGTCTGCTCAAACTCTTTGTCCATTTAAAAATTGTGTTGTCTTTTCATTGGTGAATATCGTGAGTTCTTTACGCATTTGAATGTGAGACATCAGGGAGATGATTTGCAAACGTATGCCTCCTATCCTCCATAATGTCCTCTGATGCACAGAGTGTTAGAAATTTTCTTCAAGATAGATTTATTTGTTACTTGAAAACAGCATTACAGAGCGGGGAGAGGGAAATTTTCAATTTGGCTCATTCCCTAGATGGCCACAACAGCCAGAGCTGAGCCCATCTGAAGCCAGGAGCCAGGAACTCTAACCAGGTCTCCCACGAGGGCGCAGGTGTCCAAGGTCTTGGACCATCCTTTCTCAGGTGTGTTGGTAGGGAGCTAGGATTGGAAGAGTAGCAGCCAGAACTCAAAGCAGCATCTGTCTTGGGTGCTGACACTGCGGGGGAAGATTGAACCTGTTTTGCCTGATACAGTTCTGGCCCGAAATTTTTATTTTAATGAGTTTCCAGTTACTGAGTTTTTTTTTTTTTTTAATTTGTTTCTGTGGTTGTTTTTTTAGTCACAAATAGGAAATTCTTGTATAACCTTAGATCATGAAGATTTACCTCTATTTTCTTCCAGGAGTTTTGTGGTTTTAGCTATCACATGCAGTTTTTTGATTTAGTGTGGGTCAGTTTCTTTCTCTTTTTTTTGAGGTTTATTTATTTTTATTGGAAAGGCAGATTTATGGAAAGAAGGAGAGACAGAAAGATCTTCCATCCACTGGTTCACTTCTTCCCAAGTGATTGCAATGACTGGAGCTGAGCTGATCCGAAGCCAGGAGCCAGGAGCTTCTTCTGGGTCTCCCACGTGGGTGCAGGGTCTCAAGGCTTTGGGCTGTCCTCAACTGCTTTCCTAGACCACAAGCAGGGAGCTGGGTAGGAAGTAGAGCAGTTAGATATGAACCAGCACCCATGTGGGATCCCAAAGCTCGCAAGGGGAAAATTAGCCAATGCACCAACAGTTTTTATA